AAAAATTATGTTTAGGGCAACTGCGTCAGCCACAACGGTCATAAATAAGGTATCGAATCTTTGTTCTGGTCATAAATAAGGTAGGGAAAATGGCAGATTTTGGTCATAAATTGGGTAAGAGTTTTGGGAAGCGGGCCCCACACCCCCACCAAATTTTTTCTGGGAGTATCCTCCCCCCCGGAGGACTGACCCACAAAATAATACACTTGTCTTTTTAGCAATGAAGGGAACTCCTAATCCAACCATGCGGTGTTAATCTGGCTAATTCGTAATCTTCTTTGAAAGAGCTTTATGAACCTTATCGGATTTTAATAAAACAATAGAGACAGTCGAAGTATTCCCGATATTTTTCGGAGGCTTTGAAGTTTATTACCGCATTTTAACAGTTTACGCAACTGATCGTCTCCCATTAGAGACATGGAAAATGCACTGCACAGCCTGCACTAACCAAACATGTTCATTTGACAACCTGACAAATGAGCATGTCTCATTACGGTTTAGCCGCCCCTAACTTGAAATTTTCATCTAAAATTTTGCAAAGGAAGGATCGTTTAGATGGTTCACGCAACATGATGTGTGTTCAAATGTCCCAGGAAATGTTGATCGGTTAGCCGGCGCGAAAGAAAGGGAGTTCGCACACTACACCTCGCGCGATGAGCCGTTTCAATGAGCGAGTTCTTTTTTGGGAATTCCCTTACGCTGAAGCGTCTCTTTTTAATAACGCAACATCACTAAAGTAAAGCAATTTGGACAAAGTGAAGTTAATTAAAACTAGAATACCGTTTCAAATAAAATGAAAGAAGACAAATCAACCTAATGGACTTCTCGTACTGTGAGGGGTAGACTGAGTAGTGCGCGTGCATGTCTCTGACCCTTTAGGTTCCCGCGCAATGTAATTAACTTCCGTCTTGGCCATCGCTAGTCGCCGTTTCTACTAAAATGGATTTCTGTCAATGCTAAGTACTGTTCTGCTAAAGCAGACTATTATATTGTTGGGATTTATTGATCTACAATCTCAGACATGAGTGCTGGAATACCTATCACGTGTCCACCTTCGCTTCGTTTACAACATTCGCAAGGGGTTGGAAAGGATAAATGTGTTTACTCTGTGAAGAATCTTAATTTAGCATCTGTGTACGGTCTTTTCGAGGTACTCTTCATTGCAGAATAAGCAGCCACTCGAAAACACTTATTGAAATAGTGACAACGCAGGAGCGGCTACGAAGATACCTCTGTAAAAACGATAGGCTACGCAGAGACACTTCAACGAAAAAGTGAAAAAAACAGTGGCTACTCGGCTATGCACATACCTCTATGACGAACATGCTGTTAGATTAGCGCAGACGCGTAGCCGCGCAGCCACGTAGACGCTTACCCAATAGACGCGTAGCCAATAAATACGTAGCCATGTAGCCAATTAGCCTTATTGGTGCGTAGCCTTGTAGACGCGTAGCCGCGAAGTCACGTAGACACACACCCGCATATCCGCTTAGCCGCATAGCCGCGTAGCCACGTAGACAAATAGACGCGTAGCCGTGTAGCTGTGTAGCCGCTTGCCACGTCGCCGCGTAACCACGTAGACGCGTATACCCGTTTTGGGAGGAGTACAACTTCGAAGTGGTTGGGCATTGTGCAGCTACTCCTCGAGCTACATCACATATTATGAACTCGAGTAACATCCATTTTCCTAAACTTTGTTTTACACAGCTTGCATGTACTGCCACTGTTCTTCTCTTGAGTTGCACTCATCAGACATGACCGACACATCACGTGTTGACATGGCAAATGAAATATAGACTCCGTGGAGAGATCCCTATCACACGTCACACACAAAACTGTTGATTTCTTCTTTTTGATTTGGTTTCTCAAAGTTTCTGAAGCTTGTGGCGCTGCTCTCTTTACTCGTCCTTGTATACCTATTGGATTGAAGCGCACTAGACATTAATAGTGTTATATCCCACAAAGTCGCCCCACCAACTAGGTTAATACCAAGAAAGGGTAATGGTAAAGCAATATTTTTCTCCTTCTTGAGCTTGAATTGGTTAGAAAAGAATAAAATATCTTTTAAAATGTACAAAACTTGACCATTTGCATTAATGTTAAATGAATATCTAATATGTGCAGGGATGGCTTTCAAGAGAGGAAGGATGGGGGAGGAAGGCAAGGGTATCATGGGGTGTGTCAACGCTCCCTGCCAATTGGCTAGCCAAAACAGAAGTTAACACATAATTCGCTTCAAACAATCTTGACGTAATGGGGATTCTTGGACCATTATAAGGTAGAAAAAGATATGGTTCCTTCTCTCCTGGTGTGTACTGTACTTAACCTTACCAGATTAGAAAAAAATTGTAATTCTCTCTTCAAGCCTAACTGACTTAAAAGGCAAGCACTCTGGTTTCCAAAACTTGGAGTAATTACTACCATGAATGGATGCCAATAACCTATAATTTTTCCCAACAATTCCCTTATACTCGTTTGTACTCCTGGGTGGAGAAAGACACCATGAGAGTGCTTTGTTGAAGAACATAACACCAGCCACCAGTCAAACAGAAGTGCAATGCCCTGATCATTAGGCCAGGAGCCTCACTACGAAATGCCAGGTTACTGTATGCAAACTATTTATATTGTATGGATCTGCCAGGATCTATATGTACCTGTGTTTGCCTGTGTAATGGAGGCTTGCATAACAGTTGGCATTTCTTTATAGCCTGTCATATTTCTTGTGAACATGTGAAGCCCTCTGAGTGTCTGATGTACAGCTGACTCAAGACTTCTAGAAACTGCTTCCTCGTGGCCAAGCTCTACCCCTAAGAATTGTCAATAACAATGAGAATTTTCTTGCATGTTTGGCTGCAAGATTTTCCAGAATAGTCTCATGCACTGTTTCCTTATCAGTAATTACTAAAAATGAAAACAAACCACCAAAAATGGTTTGACAAGTTATCTTGTTATAAAACAGAATGAAACAGACAGGGCCTATTAAAAGCCAGAACCCCAAAAATATTGGGCCAGTACCAGTGTAAGTTAATTAAACTAGAAGGGGCTGTTTGTTTTGGAACCAAAACAAGTCTGCATCAGGCCAAAGGGTCCCATAACTCCAAAGCTGATCTTGGTTTCGGTAACATGAAGCAGACAGGATTACACTCCATGCTGGATGGGATGTAATTCTTTTGCAGGTATGCATTTATACACCTGGATGGAGAGGGACACTTGGTCTGATGCAGAGTTTACCTTTACTCACCTGTTTGATCTGATACATCTACTCTTGAATTTGAATCACTCTGTTCACTGAACTCTTTGCTCTCACAATGAACACTCTTGTTTGATTCTCCCGAGGGTGCATTGCTGTTTGTTTTCAGTAGCAGGCTATCGTTCAGATTACTTGCTCCAGATAAGCTGTTCCCTCTTCCAACTGTTCTTCCACAACTTGAAGTACTGGCACCTGATGTTAACAGAAACTTATCAATCCTAACTTTAAGTGCACTGTTTGGCACTGGCTTACTTGTGTCTGAGAATACCTTCCCAGTAAATGGATCAGAAGGTAATCGTCCCCATGATCTCTCTGCTGTAATATGCTTTTCTAGTGTGGTTGTGTCTATATTGTGACCAGATGGTAATAACACAGGTACAGTCATGAGTTCACAAGTGATTGGATCAATGAAATCTTCTGCAAGGGAACTACTGTTATAACTTAACAGAGTGTGATTTTTAGAATTCTCAGTGGTTCTATTTCTGATGGCGGTGGTCTTGACTACAGCACCTGCCTGGATTTTTTCTTGAATGCCTAAAGCATACTCTAAAACTCCTGGTTTGCAGGCAGCAGATGGTTGTCCCCAAATTTCAACTTTGCCAATAGCTGGCACACTGGAACCACTTAGTCTCACAATCTTCAGTGCCACATGAGTAACCTTTTGTAGCAAATAAGGTCGTTGGAATTCCCCTTTTTGAAAGTCTGATCTTCCTCCAGGATTAAACCCTTGAACAGGGCTTCTCTGTTGAAATAGTTTGTTTTGAATGTGGATAGTTTTTCCTTCTCTGTCATTCAGCCAAGCAACCTGAGAGAAAAACTGTGAATGTTCACCTTTTGCTGAGCCTGGTGTAATGTCAAGTTCATAACTGTGGTTAGGGAAGTGGATGGATGTTTCTTTCTCCAAACGATTCTGGCAACAAACTGCAGAACCTTGTTGACAAATCCCAACTTTGTTTGAATCTGAAAGGAGTTCTCTTTTAGTTCTTTTCTTTTTCGAGAGCTGTGATGATTTATTGTTGGAGGTGTCTCCTTTTCTAGAAGGATCACGTTTGGTTGCTATTCCCGCCACCAGAATGGCTATGCCTGATGAAATCTGAGATCCCACTTTGGGTTTGATGATCATGGATTCCACGTGAATAGGAAATGGCAGTTGGATCAGCAACAGGGCCGGAGGCTTAATAAAATGGGCGGCCAAAAAACCTCGCGAACTTTCCCTGAAATCTATACTTACAAGGTTACCAACGGAGTATCCATCTGAACTTACAACGTCACAATCCACTCTTGATTTAAAGAAAGGATGAAGAAAATTTACAAGCATCCTTGCATTGAAGTACCTTGAAATGTTTTCCAGTTTTTGTCAATCTTGGTGTCTGCAACCAAGCCTTGCTGCGTAACCGCGCCATCATCTGTGCCAAGATGGCGGCAAAGGAAAATCTCGGTGAAATCGCCGAAATTGTGGAAATTATTCTCCGTTTTCTCCCAGGAAGATGCATAGCAATAGCAGCACAAGTCTGTCATCTCTGGCGTGACACAGTGGAGAGGATTCGAAGATCAAGAAGGAAATGCGCCGTCTATTTATCTCCAAGAGACTCAAACTTCTCTGAATGTTCGAGGGACGTACTTGACTTCATAAGGCAACAAAACATTGAACCAAGAGCTTTACTACTATTTTCAGGATCACTTCCTTCATCCAGTACATCATTTATCAAGAATTTTCTGCGATCAGTGCGAAACTGTGTCCCAGTGAACTGTCCGTTGATTGGCTGCACAGGTCTCGGGGTGATTGGTTCAGACCAAACGAACTCGGGCCAACCGCAAGAAATGGAAAACTCGTCGGGATTGTCACTTATGATGTTTCCTCGCTGTGATGGACTTGAAATCCGTGATTTCTATATACCCCTCCGCAACAAGTACAAGAATATTAGTGGTATTAAATCGTTTCTTCCTAGTATGGCTCTCCCTGTGAAACTGGTGATAGTGTTAGCTCATCCCCTGTCACTTGGAAAACTGACCAATTTGACCTTGGCTTTAAGGTCAAATTACGGCGATGATGTAAGATACATTAGATTAAAAGTCTGTTTCAGTGGTAGGGATAATGTACCAGGGGTTTCTTGCAATGACACCCAACTCCCCAGCTCCTTGGAGCTATCCAGGCATATTGAATGGCTTGAATGTAATATCTCCCATGTTTGGAGAGAGAGAGAGAGTTGAAAACACTAATCCCGCTCTTCGGACTACCCACTGACCCCCACTACACAGACTACCCCATGGACTACTCCGCAGACCACCCTATGGACTAACCCCACAAACTATCCCAAATAATCCACCAAACTTACCTTTACATGATCATAATTTTGTGAAAAACAGCAGCAAATTCCTTTTCACAGGTTTCCTTTCCTACTCTTTATTACAAATTGCCTTGTCCCCAGTACGCCTTGATCTACCACAGAGACAAGTTTAAGGTGACTTTAAAGCTTGACTCTGTCTCTAGCCATATTATTTTTTATGTATACATCGATTGGCTGACTCGGGCTATAATAAGCATTTGGACTGGTGGTTGATGAATGGGATGAAAATGAAAAAAGACTGGGTCAAGGAAGCCAGTGAAAAGAAAATAGCAGCTGTTTTTCGTAAAGTTATGATCGTATAGGTGGAGCAGTTAGGCTTCTCGTATGTCTTTCTCCCATAAAAGTAAATCTTGCTGATTGTTTAGACTAGTCCATGAGGGGGGGTGGGGGTTAGTGGGTAGTCCGTAGAGCAGGGATCAGTGTTTTCAACTTTCCTGTATGGAGAAAAGGATTTTGTAATTGTCAATTGAAACATTTTGGTGTAATTAAGTCATTGGAACATACCACCTCTGGTCCAGTGTTGGATAGAACAATGACTATGCACTTAGTGGGATTTAGTTTTTAAAACAACAAGGTGAGAAAGACAAATAAATTACATTTCTAATGATTAAATCTCAGTAGAGAGTGTATTAAAACCTTAAGGAAATCAAGATGTGAAATTTCCTGCACAAAAAAAAAATGGGGATTGAAACATCATTGTCAGTCCTCAATTGTACCATTAGATGCACCTCTCCAGTTAGAGGAACCTTGTGCCATGTTTTGGATGTCATCCCAGAACAGATGTGATGTATTAACTTAATTTAATTACTGAACTAACCCTTTTCTTTCAGTTACCTTTCAAATTGTTTTTTATTTGACATTTCAGGTGGTTATTGTAGGTGGTTACAGTGACAGTTATTTGTTCTACAACACAGAAGTTACTACTCGTGAGATCATTGGTCTTGTGCTGGCTGGGAATTTGCAGTGCTCGTCTTCAGTCATTACAGGTGGCATGTTAGTAGAGTCTTTGGAGAATCTCCATGACGCCATTAAAAGACTTGACAACTCCGACGTACCAAAAGAAAACAGCTTTAGCTTGATGTTTTCGTGTTTTTCAAGGGGAAGTATGACTTATGGATATGAAAATGCCCAATGCTTGTCATTAAGTGAAGTTTTTCCTAGGACACCTGTTGTAGGATTTTTCGGGACAGCCGCGTTTGGATGTGACAGAGAAAAGTTGAAGACTAGAGGCTTAAGGCCAGGTGGTCGGGATTTTTTACACCTTGACGCAACTGTGCTCTGTTTGACTTCATTAGCGCCTATGAAGTAGATGACAACTGCTGTAACTCAAAACAATGACAGCACTAAATGAGCATTCTTTCAGATCTTCTGTCCTTTTTGGTTTATCTAGCGCAAGCGTGAAAAAAGTGGGCCTTATCAGAGAGGGAAGAAACAGGGATTACGCTTCCGACACGGCATTTCAAGTTGTGTCGGACACGAACGCGCATTTTGCCTTTTCATTTGGAAAGGAAAATAGCTGTTAATTAAAAGTTGCAAGATCAGTATAAAACTTGTCTCTTGTTATTGTCCATTGCCGGTACCTCGATTGTTTTTGTCCTCGTTATTCTGTTTTGTGTTGTAACCGCACAGCGGGTGGAGACGGCAACAGAAAGCGAATAAATAGGGCCGGAGAGAAAGAGGAAAAGGTCTACAGAATTCGAATTTTTACAAGGTGAAGTCTGTATACGAGTTAAGTGGCCCATCAGACCAGTGCTTATCCCGGTTTCTCCAGCATGAAGCAACTAGGAGTATTTCTACTCCCCACGTGGATGGGATGCTAGTCCATCGCTTGGGTACCCTATAGCATCAAGTTCGCCGGTACCCATTTATACACCTGGGTGGAGAGAGGCACTGTGAGAGGAGAGGTTATTCCTCCTGTAGGCTAGATTTAGAATAACCTTTATAGTGTGAGAGCTATTTCGCCAACGGCTTCATAGATTGGAAAAATTGGAACCGTATCATATGAGGAGATGGGAATATAATATAGCATAGTGTTTGGCAACTTGTTAGATTAAATTCAAGGGTTCCTTTGATGGTGCGAAGTTTCTTGCACTTGGCAAAATATCTATCGCATCAGTCTTGAACGTCACCAAACAGCAAAGGCGTGTTCGTCCCAACAATTGCAGAACCATAAACTCGTTGGCGAAATATTGTCAAAATATTCTGAAACATCTGAGACACGCGGCAAAGCAACGAAATTTTGACGATGGGAAAAAAATACAGAGTCTTTTACAGGTGCCACATCCAAAAGTAACATGAAAAGACGCCTTTCCTCCTGCACACAAAATTATACTACAGAACGACAGTGACCTTGAAAGAGGTGAATAACTGAAGTAGAACAAACGTTCTCAAAAATTTCGAAATTGTTGATTCATTTTGATTTTAAGACCAATACGAATGACCATTTTGGGCTAAGAAAAGACAGATCTTTAGAACATTTTGGGCCTGGTTACATACACTGTAGCCAGGGCGTGAGAAGGCCAATATACGATCCTGTTTACGCGCTGATAAACAAATGATGAAAAAGTGCAGCAAAGTCCACTGTTTGAAACTTTTGAAAATTCTGCCTGTTTGGAAAAGAAGAAGTAAGAAATGCACGGTTCCAAAATCGATGTAGACTTATACTTCTCAATTTGGCACACATAAAGCATTAGTTATCAAATTGATATTTAGGACATTAAATAATTCACAAAAATAAAACAGCCCCTCCCATCACCTTACACCCATTGCTGGCAATAGCCCTCATGAAATTTGAGCCTACCGAGAAACCCATGTGAACAACAGCTAACAAATATAACCTCAGGGCTTTGCTTTCACACTTGGTGCCCGAGAACGGTGCGCAAGCACGATTCTCCTTTGGTACTAATGTGAACACACCGTTTTTCCAAGTACTCACACCGGAATTCGGGCACAGTACCGTGCCCGAGTACTAGGTCTTGTCCTTGTACTCAGGCACCATAAAATGGTACTTGGGTACTTGGAGTATCCAGTGTCTAAACGGAACACAGTGTTGCGCCGGCACCAGTGAATACAGTCTAAGTACCCCAAGCGAGATCGAAACTCTCCGGTTCAGTAGACTGGTCTCCGACAGATTGTCGCTAAGCAACATCTCGTGCGGTGGATCACGGCGTGAAAAAGACGAGGGGGCCTAGATTCCATCACAAAATCAACAACGCTAAAACATGGCGAGCTGTGAGCATTATGTAAGGAAATGTTCTTTTCTGGCTCCGTGTTGTAACAAGATCTACTCCTGTCGCTTTTGCCACGATGAAGCTGAGAAAACCCATGAGTTAGAGAGGAAGAATGTTCGACAAATCAAGTGCAATCAGTGCGGTAAACTGCAAGATGTCGTGTCACATTGTACGGAATGTGGCATCAAGTTTGGCTTTTACTTCTGTTCCACTTGTCGTTTGTACGACGATCGAGACAAAGGCCAGTTTCACTGCGACCTCTGCGGGGTTTGCCGCGTCGGTGGGAAAGATAACTACTTCCATTGTTCAATGTGCGACATGTGCTATCCGAACAATATCAAGAGTTCCCACAAGTGTATCGAACAGAGCTCCAGATCGAACTGTCCCATATGCATGGAAGACTTGCACGCCTCGCGTGTTCCTTGTCAGATTTTGAGATGTGGTCATTTACTGCATCAGACGTGTTTCCAAGCGTGTCTGAAGTCGCAACTGCGACACTGCCCACTGTGCTTGACATCCATGGGTTGAAATTGGTGGCTACTTTTGATTACCATGAACACGTTACAATTTTGCAACAAAAAAGTGCATCTTTGTTCAAGTTTTTACTGAACTTTCCGTTTATTTCTGTCAGCACTTGGATAGCTTGCTCTGATTGTACTTAATACTAACTGTGACTCACAAAGTCAGGTAAATGACAGTAGTTCAACTGTCTCCTCGTAATAAGCTTTTGACAGGTGGGCAAAGCTCTAGCTGTGAGGTGATCATCTTGTGTAAATAGCAGATTTGCACATTATCATCATTTGACTACTACTACCAGAATTTCTCTGGTTTTTTCTTTATTATTTAAATTTGAAGCCCCAGTGGGGTTTAAATAACAATATAAATAAGCATAAGAAACAGAAAAAGTGAAGAATTCTGGTAGTTGCAGTCTAATAATGCTATCATGCAAATCACCTATAAATTAGCACCAACATAGTAATAGAGGGGAATGGTTATGAAACCCAACAAATTTCTTTGTTGTATATTTTTGTTTGCTCAGTTTTGGCCTTGACCATGCACAAACACAATAGTTGTTTACTCCATACTGAGGAACTAACCAACAGAAACGTTTTGGTTAAGTAATTCATGCATAGTGTGTGAGGGCAAAACAAAAGACTGCACAGTCATGGACCTTCCAACATAAATCTTGGGCATCTTTGTTTGCGTGATGTTTGCTGGGCTTCATAACCATTTCTCTCTAAAAACTATGGTAGCAACTGTAAAGTTATAAGTGTGGACTGGGAGAGGTTGTATGGCGATATTTTTTATTACCCTAGGAAAGCAGAAATATTGAAAACAAATTAATAAAATGCATTACCTTACTTCCATTGTTGTCTGTTTAACTACTGTGACAAATTCAAAGCTGTTATCTCTTTATGGGGTTTGATTTCAGAAGTAACACACTAAAATGGCCTCGAATCTGCATAGTGATGCAATAAACAACAAAAAATACTTATGCCATGTGAAAGTAAGGTAGGGCATTTTTTAAAAAACTTTCTAGTATATCTCCTTCCTAAGGCTGATCACCTGTGGCCTTTTCTTTAAGTATTTGTGAATTTGTCTGACTGAGAAATAAACCACATGCCTTCCCCTCACTGGTAACTGGTTGTCTCTCAACTCAGTCTGCTTGTGCTGGTTGTACAGATTGACACTAGAAATGCAGAGATTTCAATGTGAGTATTATATTTGAAGGCCCAGAACTTTCACCTGATTGTACATAATGAAACATGAGTGCTTATCTGATTTCCAAATGCAAAGGAGAGAGTTGAAAACGCTGTGTAGCAGAGTAGTTTTGATGAAATCAAAGGTGTTTTGAACTTATGCGAACCATATGGGAGATCCATTTTGTATCCATGAAACTCCAGATAACACCAGAGAGTTGGCTCAAAGGTATTTCTAATATATTTTTTGTCTAAATTGTTTGTATGTAATGGTATCCTGGGTGTTAATTATGGTTTCCCATCATTACAGCTGATCATTAACAATACTTTTCTCTTTCAATATTGTCTTGCAAGAGAACCAACTCTCAGATCCCGGATGGGGGACTCCGATATATAATGACAGGGTGCTCGTCGCACCTTTCGGGGTTTGAGAAGCGGTTTTGGTACCTCTTAGGGTGGTCAGCCTCAAAAGGTCCAGAGCGGGAGCTTCTGCAGTCCCTTTTAGGGTAATGAGCCGGAAAAAAATTAACAGGAGGTAATGTGATGTTTTAGAATCGGTACCTCATAGAGGTGAAAAAATCACAGCCACACCCACAAAACAGGATCTTGGTACCTCTTGGGGGTTCTTTTCAAAATTTCCGACAAGCAACCCCCGTCCTTTTTATATGGGAGTTCCACCTCCATCCCTCGGGTCTCAGATAACATCCATGGGCAATGAGTTTTATTATCTGCCACCTGAGGGTGGTTCTTTTAATAAAAAATGATTTTTATTGCAAAGCTTTTAAACAAACCTCTGGGAGTGGAATATTATGCTTAAGTTATGAAAGTTATTCTGTTGGTAACAGTCACACCAGCCTTAATAATCTGACACCAATCATAATCTGAAACAAAGGGACTGATAAAAACCAAGCTGATCTGAAAAATTTAAAACCCAAAATATATTTAAACCACAGCATGGCAGTTGTTTCCTTTCCACAGTGAAATAAGCATGTAACAAGTAAGCTTGATTTTACTCGCTATGACAATGGTAATGGGTCAGGGCTACTTTCTAGCACTGTGGCCCTCCAACCCAACACTCCTGTCCAGTTTCAGTAACATACATTAAGCAACTATCATATTTTAGCCCTGTAGCATTTTTAAATTTCCTGATATCCATTTATACACCTGTTGAGAGAGGTTGACCCTGGCCATGGCTCAAACCAGGACAACATCATCCAGAATCCAACAGCATACTATTCATTCTATTCAGTTTTATTACTCTCCAGTGAACGTAATGCTAGTTCCTCACCCTTGCCAGGTTGCTCAAACAATTTGCGAGTGCTGTACCCATTCGCCTCTTGGGTTGAGAGAGAGACCCCTTTCGTGTTCCTTTTATTGAAAAAAGGTACCGATTTCACACACCTACTTAAGAACACTACATCCTTTTGTAAACCATTGTAATGAAGTTAATGAACAATATCATGGTGGAACATCAAGCATTACCAGAAGAGATGTTAACCAAAAATCAAGTATTATTTGTTCAGTTCAAATGATCAATCTCAACGTGGTTTTTTCATGTGGTGTTTGGTTAAAACTTGCAACTCACCCCAGGTCCCTGCACAACTTTACGCAACCGGCCTCAAGCCGCTATGCAATTTGATGACGTTACAATAGAGACACTTTATGTCTCGGACTGTTAGTAAACAGCGAAGAAATAATAATGATAAATGAGCCCTTCGTGATAAATGAGCCCTCCTGCAAAGGATCTGTGACGCAAGACGTATGGTGAAAAGTTGACAAAGCGTTAACGAGCCGTAATGATGCAAACAAGGATCATAAATTTACAAACATTACTTCTATTAAACGATAGATAGATAGATAGATAGATAGATAGATAGATAGATAGATAGATAGATAGATAGATAGATAGATAGATAGATAGATAGATA